CAGAGAGAATCAGAACTTTGCATTATGAAAACTGAGAAAATCCAAATAAATTTGGGAATTAAGAGGGGACACTGAGGATGAGCAATTTATAAAGCTGGTAACACTACACAACATTCATTCGTTTTCTACAAATAACATAGCATAATTATGTGTTTAATAGTAATAGAGAAAAAAGCCACAGATTATGAATGATGATGCAATATAGTCCTTAGATGTTGCCTTTTAAGATGCAAAGTTTGTAGACGAAACCACAAACACTTCAGCGTCTGGTTGTTCTTCTTGCTTTAAAGAACCTCTCTTTGATTGAGAACAACTCTTTTGTGGCTTCACTCGTTGCTAACCGGTTTGTTGGAGATTCTTCACAACACCTGAGGCCCACATCCAGAACCAGTGTCAAGCACTCAGCAACAGGGAAGCCGACTCTGAGACCAGTGAGAAGAATCGACTTGTCTGCAATGTCCATTACGCGCTCTGGCAATGCTGAATTCGTGTAGCTTCGTAGTGTTAACTCTCCCCCAAATAACTCGTTGGTCGGTCTTTTCCCAGTGAACATTTCCAAAATGAGAACCCCAAAGCTATACACATCACCATGTACTGATGGCTGTCCTCCCATTCCATATTCTGCACCATAATTCACAGAAACAAAAATTGGAGTAATAAAAGAGTACATTCATTTTCTTCATTTAAACATTACAGAGGTGTGATAGTTTTTACCTGGTGCGGCATAGCCGATGGTTCCTCTGACGCCGGCTGAGCTTAGTTGGTTGAGGAAGGACTCTTTGTCAAATTTGAGGAGAATTCGAGCAAGACCAAAGTCGCTAACATGGGCAGTCAAATCATCGTCTAGGAGGACGTTGCTTGGCTTAAGATCACAATGAGCTATAGGTTCATGGCAATGAACATGAAGATAGTCCAGAACAGAAGCCACATCAATCGCTATGTTAAACCTTTGCAGAAGCGTCAAAGTTCTTGAGGGCCTATGAGTCTCTTCCACTTCCTCTGGGTGTAGCCACATATCCAAGCTTCCATTAGGCATGAACTCATAGATGAGAGCTCTGAATTGGTTTCCTTGGAACTCAATACTCGAGCAAGCCGTCAAGAGTTTCACAAGATTACGATGTCTTATGTCCTTCAAAGATTCACATTCTGCCAAAAAGCTCTTCATCGCTCCACGTCGCTGCATGTTTAGAACTTTCACCGCAACAGCATTGTTCTCCGTAGGAAGCAATGCTTTAAACACAGTACCAAAACTGCCTGACCCATATTGCTCGAAGAGAAGCCATCTTTTTCTGAACCAACGTAGAGAAATTAAAGCCATGAACGACAGCAAAAGCAAAGCTATGCCTCCGCTAACCCCGATCACAACTTTCTTCAAACGAGAGGAATGCTTTGTCTCCATTGGTGGTGCTTGCGCATTGCATGGCTTTAGTTTCAGTTCCTTGATGCATCCACAGAGATTTTTTGTTTCCAAATACGAAAACTATAGTAGAGTTCTGAAATTTTCCTTGTGTAGGCACCCTTCCCTCGAAATTGTTGATGGATAGATTGAGATATTCCAACGAGGAAAATTTTGCAAAATAATCAGGTATACTTCCGGAGAGATTATTTTTCGATAAATCAACTTGTCTAAGACCAACCAACCCTGCTATATCTCGAATGGCTCCATCAAAAGAATTTCCTTGCAGATAGAGTTCCCCAAACCCTGTGGGAGTTTGCCTGATAATTTATTATGCTCAACAGAAGACTCTGTTGCTGTCCAACATGTTTTGGTAGAGAACCGGATAAGGAATTATGTGGGATGCTAAGAGCTAAAAGGGATGGAATTTGCATAATCTCCCGAGGTATAGTCCCATTCAAATTATTATACCCAATTTGTATATCTTGTAGGTAACTACAATTACATAGACTCGGAGGAATAATTCCTTGAAAACTATTCTTGAGTGATGTTGCCTATAGAAAATGGCATCTCTCCCGACATTCTATTTGAATTGAGATACAATTCCCCCAATTCTGAAAGCTTCCCAAGAGAAGTTGGGAGTGGTCCTGTAAACATATTTTCATGCAACATAAATGTTTGTGATTACCAATGTCTTGAGGAATTCTTCCGGAGATGTGATTTCTTCCAAAGCTTTTTAAATATTTGAGGTTTGTGGATAGATTGGCCTATTTCCACCTACATCTAACTCTTGTAACTGGGTGCAATTAGTCAAAGCACCAATAAATTCAAGATCTCCAACAGAGTGACTTCCCAAAGAATTACCAAGAAATGACAAGAGTTGCAAATTCCTTACTTTTCCAAAGCTCGGAGGAATATTTCCTGTCAGACTGTTATACTCGGTTGCCAATATTTGAGATGTTGGAAGGGCTCCTGTGAAATAATTTTCTCCCATAGATCACTGTCGAAGGTTTGGTAACAAAATTTACCAAACTCAGGCCTCAGGCTTCCCGCAAAACCATTAGTAAATAGGTTTACAAACGTAAGTGAAGATAAATTGTAGATTGCAGGAGGAAAAGCACCTGAGAAATTGTTGGTTGATAATTCAAGGAACGATATACGAGTCAATCTACCTATATCATCTGAAATTCTTCCTTCTAGCATGTTTTCTCCGAGGTCAAGGTCTCTCAAGGATGTCAAGTTTCCTAGAGTTGTAGGGAGCTTACCTCTCAGCTTGTTTTTACCAAGAAATAATTTAACAAGCTTCGTCAATGACCCTACTTGTGAAGGAACACCTGCTCCAAGGTGATTTGAATCTATCTCAAGGTCCAACAATCTAGAGCAGTTAAACACATCGACTGGAATCACTCCTCCGAGAACATTAAAGTACATATACAAGTATTCAAGTCTAAACAAGTTTCCAACCTCGTGAGGGATGGTTCCACCAAAAGAGTTATCAGAGAGATTGAGTGATACGAGAAACGAAAGATTACCGATAGAGAGGTCCAAACGGGTAACTCTCTTGTGTTTGCGGCCACAAGTAACCCCATACCAGTTGCAGAGAGGGAAAGAGCTATTCCATGAAGACAAGACAGCTCCTTTGCCTTGAGAAACTTGAGCCTTGAATGCTTGCCTATCAGTTTCATCGGTAAAAACATATGCTTCAAGTAACATGAGAGCACTGAAAGAAAGCAAAATAAAGAAACGCAAATGCAAAATGTCTTTACCTTGTGGAATAATGCAACTTAAAGACAACACATTGGCTCAGAATAACATAAAGAACACTGCCAGACTTTTCCAAAATGACATGGACTCTTGCCTTCTAGACTCATGTTTCTAAGTCAAGTAGTCAACTATTTAAAACACACAAAAAATCATTTCAATAGTCTTCAAGACTTTTCATAGATTTCATGTGGTGGTTTTAATGTTAACCCATCAACAGGGAAAGATCATCGCAGAAAAACACATTTTTCGGGTAAGAACTTGATAAGCTCAAACATCACAATCCAGAGACATTTTTTAGGATAAGACTCCTGAAAAATGACTTATATTCCATTTGGTTGGATACTTGGATCGATCAGTTTATAATGAGTCATTAGCTTTTCTAACTGTTCGAGACCTTGCTAAACCGTAAGTCACTACCAAATACCAAGCTAACTTTTTTGTACATATATTTACAGAATGGTAGTTTCACTAAACCACTGGTGGTCCCAGAGAAAATCAAAGAAACAGGACTTGAAAGCTTAGAAAGAAACTCTTATTTGATTGCAAACAAAAAGGAGAAAAATTTGTGCCCTACCAGCTAGTTTCTTAAATGCAAGCCAAAAAACACATGACATTTAAGCAATACCCAATTTTTGAAAAATTTATCTTCATCTAAACACAACTGAAAGTCCAAATAAAATTGGGAGCTAAACGAAGAATATATTTAGTAAGTGGCACAACATTCATCTTTTGTTCTGCAAGCATAAGTACAATACAACACCATGATTGCCTGACCTAAGAAAATTTAAACACAGCACCAAAGTTACCTGACCCAATCAAATATTTTGGAAGAGAAGCAACTTGTTATCTTGTAGCCCTGATCATTACCACCGTTATCATTAGTGTTGATCCAAGCAGGTCGACAATGAATTTATAATAGATCGGAGGTCGGAGAATCTCGTATATAGAAAGTTGAGTCGAAGAGGTGTAAGTACAAATAGATCGCTAAAGATAGTCCGGACAGATCCCGTGCTATCAGTTCGCTAGCTAAGAGATCGTGGTAGATCGGACAGACCCCGAACTACCAGATTTTGAGTATAAAGAGTAGAATTTAGAGAGCTCGCGAGTGGCGGCGCTTGTACTTCTTGAAGAATAAGTGAATGAATTGTCACATCACCCTTTGACCTCTATTTATAGTGAAAAGCGGCGGGTTTAACTTGAGTTCAGCTGACCGTGGTTYATCTGATATACCCCTGTTTTGACCAAGCTCAGTTCGGATATGCCTTAGGTGTGATCAGARCGRGGTTAACAGTTGGAYTGGGRCTCTGGCAGCRCGCTGGGCTTCTCCCGAACTCGCTGGGCCTCTGCTTCCTTTGGTGATTCGCGACTTGCGATCTGCTCAGAATGTTGGGCCGCAGGTCCGGGCCCAACAGTAGCCCCCCTCCCCGGTCAACGAAACGAGGCGGTCTGAGCTTCGTTGATTTTACTGGRRRTRGCTGCGGTTTCYTCTTCTTCGAGGCGTGACCCTTCGTATTCCYCTCTGGGCCTATAAAAACGGGACTTTACTTCTGTTTTCCTCTTCATTTCGCTTCGACTGCTTCTCTCTCTAAGGTACTGT